AAAGAGTCGTTCTCCTGAGAGTACAGTGGCAACTCGCACATCTCGTCCAAATATGCCGTGACCATCTCCAAGTCAGATGCAAGGGTTTGCATCGTGTCCCTGTTGAAACTGGCCAGCTTCTGCAACGTGGGAAGACGATGTGTCGATGCATCAAAACTCGATTGCACCTTCTTTGGCATCCCTGGTGGCATGATGTACTCACCATCCTCGCTCGCCTGTGCCAAGACAACCCTGAGGACGATAAGCAAAGCTATTGCCGTGGCCATGACATCCGACGCCTCTTTGCTGTCTGAGAACAAAGGCTGGACCAGCCTTAGGCAGTTGAATGTCTTGTCGGCCGCCTCCTTCATGTCAGCTGCCACCCCGAAAACCAAAACCCATCCGCGCAAGAAGCCTTTGAACTTGTTCTCAGTCAGCAACTCTGGCGACTCTGGCGCTCGTGCAGGTGGCATAGCCGGATAGTGGCAGCAGGAGGTTTGGAAGCACAAATCCACCCTAACGTTACCTCGTTACTTGCAAAGCCGACGCTGCGGGCAGGCCCCCACATATTGTGGTCGGGGCAAAAACAAGCCGTGGCCGTGTGGTCCCTGAACCTGAAGCCCAGACCGCCCGCCTCCTCATCCATTTCCATATTCTCATCACCATCATTGTCCAAGTGTACCTCGGGAAAGCTAACTCCCCGACTGAAGCTAAGATCGTCAACACGCAGCGAAACCGAGCCGCTCAATAATTGCCGAATAAGTGACTGATTTGTCTTCACCGCTGGGTGACTCAGATTTCTCATGCTCGGGCTGTTCGGTCCCGGAGTGGACCATATTTATCCCATTCGACACTGACTCAGAGGAGTCGGAGTCACTGCAGTCACCAGAGCCGCTGCCGGAGCTGGAGCCGGAGGTGCCATCGTCCGGAGACGGAGGCGGCTGAGACCCAGACATGTCTACACACACACATCACACGCACACACACATCACACAACCCACATAGACGATACTCTGACTCTGACTGCGACTATCATAACTGTCATGCAGTCACACAGACACAGCTCATGCAGGATCCCACAGGGAACTCGCAGGACAATGTGATTGAACGCCTATCGGATTTGGTTTAATGGCTCCAGGACTGGACCTCAGGACTCAGATAATAGGGGCTGGGGCTTTGGGTGGTTCGGCTTGTCGCCGTTGGCTTCACCTTGGGCCTTCACTGCATTGATGGTTTCCCGGCATTCACGAGGAAACAATCTGGGGTCTGGGATTACGGGGGAGGGGATCACAGAATCACAGTGCGCAGCACACGGCACACACAATGACACATGCTTTCATGCACGCGTCGCTGTACGCAAATAGTGTCTTTTCAGTAGCTCACACTGACTGACGTAATTTTTTGGAGACCGTCTTCCAAAAGCCACTGCAGTCTGCAGTCGCCTCTAATCGCATCCGAACAAAACGCGAAAGGAGCATGTGTTGTTTGTTGCCGATTCATGTGGTCATCAAGTGAATCAAGCGCACATGTGTGTCTGTGTGCAGGGGGCACATGTGCTTTGGGCCTCTGGGCTAACTGCGGCTAACTGTTGGTTGTGTGATGCGTGGGGAGTTCAGCTTCAAACAACGTGCTCAAGACTCAAGATCGCTGACCCTTGCGATTCGATTGAGTGCTGCATCATGGCTGCATCAGCTGCACCAGACCCGAATCACCATTTTCGCTCTCGGAGTATCGGATCTCCGTCTCCTGACATGTTTGAGTTTGAGACCGAGACGATGGGATTGTTCAAAGTTCAACTGAGTCACAATCATGCGCACTGAAGCAACAGCCCAGCTCAACCAAGTTGTGTTGTCAATCTCTTTGCTGACCAAGCTCCTGAAATCCTGCTGTCATCCGCAACATCTGCAGTAACCGCCTTTCATCAGGGAGCAAGCGTTGGCTGGGCTAGTTAATGTCACGTCACTGTTATTGCCACATTGCCGTGTCATGATAGCTGCTGGCCTCGGACAGCTGCTGCTGCTGCTGCTGGCGTGCCCGCTTCCTGTCCCGCTTTTGCCCATGATGCCGACGATGCTTTCGCTTTTTGCTGCGTTTGTTGCATACATCTTCGCCGTCTTTGCCGGGCGCTTCACCATCATCATCGGGATCGTTGGGATCATCAGGCGGTCGGGGAATGTCATCTGGGCCTGCCCAAGACGGACTGGACGTTGTTTTGCTCTCATCGTCCTTGGGCTCTGGCCCGTCGGGGCCGTCTGGGCCGTCTGGGCCGTCTGGCCCCCCGCCGCCGCCAGGCATGGGCCTGGGGCCTGGCCTTCCCTCGTTGCCATAGAAGTTGACAGTGACTGCCACACGGCAACTTTGAGCGCCCATCACCGAGAGCTTTTCAGGAAAGGATCTTTCACTCGAGCCGAGCTTGCCGGTCGCTGCTTGAAGACACGTTCTCAAGACGGCAAGACTAGACCTGCAGCAGCACATGCGGCATGCGAGCATAATTCATACTTCACAAGTGAGTTCAAGGCTTGCCACTTTTGAGACCAGTGTGGCGAAGGCTGCATGAGCTGCGTGACGTTCGGCCGCCAAACAACCGATCCCTGAGTTTAGGAAGCTGTGCTGCCGACAGCAGCACCAGGCACCAGGCAGCAGCATCAAAATACTCCTCTGGCACCCATATCGACCTGCTGAATGATAGATGCCTCCAACCTCAGGTCGTGCAATAGTTCTGCAACAAACACGGAAAAAGCTAAAGCAACAACATGAGGAAGCAACTTGTTCATGTCACAACCACGGCTCAAAACTCAGAACTGGCGACCTATCATGAACCAAGGAAACAGTCAGATTGCAAGTGCAAGAAAGGAGCTCCTCGCTTGTGCCAAGCTTTTCGGCATCCATAGGTGGATCCTTTCAAACGAGAAAATGAGAATAGCGACGCATCTTAGTTTTATCAGCATATCACAACCACGACGAAACTCATTGATTGCAAGCCAGCCACATAAAGGACATGTCGTTTGCGGACATCCTCCGCTGTTTCACCAACGTCCGGAGTCATCATAAGTCCTGACACTGATACCAGCGATGCCAACGGTTTAGGGTTAAGGGCTTAGGGCCATCGTATGAGCTGACAGGCACACGCACACACAGACTCGCCATGGGAGCAGAGCCCACCAGGACCAGCATAGCACATCACTTTATAACAACGAGAAAAGAACAATGCACTGCCACCCAGCCTTCCAGAATCCATGCCCTCATCCGATCCAGTGCAACTTGCCGGGACGGTCTACTTGTAGACACACTTTTGCGGCAGCGGATGTGTCTTCCTTTGTCATCGTAATAAGAATGGAGCGGGCATTCGCAATACCAAGCAGGAACCTTAGATAGTCACCAACGTTCGCTTGGCAAGGATGAGAATCTGCCGCATGCAGTCACATACATAGCACATACCTGTGTGCATGAGGCGGCGGCCATGAAGTCCTTCCGAAGGACGATGTCCCAGTGCAGACCCAGAGCATGTCGGATGTGGACTGTGTCGCTATCATGGATCCCCGTCGTCGACGTCGACGGCAATGATGGGTGCGATGTCTTCTGCTTCTTGGCAGCATTGCCCGCAATCATATCATCATCGACGCCTGGAGTCAAAGGCTTTGCTGCGCACAAGATTCCAGCCTGGCCTGGTCCTGGATTGTCCACAAGGCCCGCAATCATATCATCATCATCATCGAGGCCTGGGCGAACACGCTCGTTAAAGCTGGATCTGAAATAAGTATTAGGCTGGCTGACGCAGACGCAGGATTCCAGAATTCCAGCCACTGCCTGGCCTGGTCCTGGATTGCCCGCGCCCGCAATCATATCATCATCATGATCATCGAGGCCTGGGCGAACACGCTCGTTAAAGATGGATCTGAAACAAGTACTAGGCTGGCTGAGGAAGGATTCCAGAATTCCAGCCACCGCCCCCACCGCCTGGCCTGCTCCTGGATTGTCCGCAAAGATATCAAAATCAGCATCATCGAGGCCTGACAAACACTCTCGTTAAAAATGGATCTGGACCTGGAACAAAGACTAGGCTGGCTGATGCAGACTGACCTGGCCTGGTTTGTCCGCCCTCATGTCATCATGGAGGTCTGGGCCTGGGCCGGGCACACGGCACATTAAGGAGCTCAAGAAATCAAGAAACTCTAAATCCCCAGATCCCCGATCACTGCGCTCAAGAAAAGCTTTAACTATGGTAGTACTTCAATTGAGACCGGAAGTCCGGAAGCCCAAGAAACTCACCATGCTTCCACATTTCCAGCTGCTTCCATCACGACAAACGAAAGACGAAAGGTTCATGAATCATTACTCACACGAACTGACTTGACCTCCAACCCGCGACTGATGCGAGAACCAAGTTTCAAGTAAGGACCCGGCCGGCAGACGCAGACGCAGACTCGCCCAAGCCCACGGCCTGCATCGCGAGCACGCACTGCCGCACAACGATAACTAACCCGTGGCGGAAACTAACTTATAGGGGGGGCCGAAAAGGGTTAGGGCTGCGGCTTAGGGCGCTCTTAAACAGCCTAAATGAAGGGAGCCCGGGTGACTTAGGGAGTATCGGGGGACTCGGAAGGCAGAACTGCAGAAGCATCAGGCACGCTTCCTTAGTGAATTACAAAATTGTTGATTTTATTGGTATTGTTCAATCAATCTGTACGCGGAAAGAGTTTGCGTTGAATCAAGCAAAGCGTCAAGATGCAATCGAATATATAAATGCATCAATCTGAGGTGGGATTGATCGTGAGCTTGGAGCTGGCAGGGCTTGTGTACAGTGCATTCAAGGCTTTACTTACTGCTCGTGATGGGGTCAACATCCTACAGCTTCTACCTTGGCAGCAGTTTTTTGCAGGCTGGCCCGCGGTGCTTCACTGCAAAGCCTCCTACCTGACCACCTTCCAGGACGGCCAGCAGACCCGTGTTGCGCAAGACAGCACCCAAGCTTCAAAATTTGCAAAAGTTGCACAAAATATTGGCGGCTTCGGCTTCAGTCTTCAGTCGTCTTCAGGATGTCGTGCTGGAGAGCGGCTGCGGTCGCAGTTGCGCGAGGGCGGAGTCGGCGGAGTCTTCGGGTTCCTGCTGTCCCAAAGGTGGCCAAGCATCGGCTCGATGTTGTCAAGCTGCTGCTGGACCTGCTTGAGGGTGTCCTTGACATTGACAAGCTCTAAGCGGTCCATGCGCTGTCGCATCTCGGCCAGCCCCTGCAGAGCCACCGAGACATCGGCCGCCAGGTTCTCCACCTCCCTCGACAACCGTGCAGTGCGATTAAGCAGGCCCTGCACATCTTCTAGCAGTCCTCCTACGCGGGCCCCCATGGCTACAGCCTCCTCGGCTCGAGCAGCATTGGCAGCCTCGGCTATGGCAATGTCCATGTCCTCACGGGAGAAGTGCACCTTCTCCTCCTGGTCCACCTTCTCGCCCTGGGACGAAGCATCGTCACCGGGGGGGGCCGGGTCTGCGGACTCCATCGAGTGCACGGACTCGAGGACGTCGAGGACTTGAGGCTGAAACGGGCCGCGGCTTCTGCATGACATGAGCAGATGATCAACAGGCCAGAGGTCAGCACTGTCGACTGTCATCACTGATCACTCAAATGACAGTGTGTCAGCTTCCAACTGCAAAGCATGAAGCTTCGGCGCTCGAAACCCTACCTGATGCTAACCCAACCCATCAGCGGGGCCTCCTGCTCCGATTGCTCGCAGTCCGCAGCTTGCGCTTGCAAGTCCAATAGCATAGCCATGCCTTCACATCCACGGCCACAACATCATGTAATTTAATGTGAAAATTACGACTCACAGCATCTAGACATGCGACGTGTGCCATTGCGTTGCGTCATGTGTCAATGTCATGCCTCTAGCAAGCAAATCACGCCGCTCGGACATGGCTGATCCACACAGTTTACAGATAGAGATGCAATAACAAAACATCACGCTTCTGGCCGCCTGGGTCTGGGTCATCTTCAAGCATTGGAACGGTCCGTCGATTCGCAACAGCCTTCTTCTTGGACTTTTTGTCCAAGAGCTTGCCATACCACTCCTGGCGCATGGAGTTCTAAATTCTACTTTAGTCACACACGGACAGTGATTGAGCAATGCGACACTCCACTGCCAGCACAGGCTGAACTTGACAGCTTGACTGCAACCACAGGATACATCAAACACATGCCGGCTCACCTTGGATTTTTGGGGGAGCACATTGATCAGTTGCTCATCGCTTGCTTGCAAGATCGTGCTGTAGTACCTGCAAGCGACATGCAATGAAGGATCTGAATCTGAGTGGAAATCAACAGCGATGCGAAGCTCGTAAACTCAAAGACTCACACAGCCACGGAGCTATAAATCCCAAGAGATCCAACAATGAAGCAAACACTGTCAAAGCTGGGCGCACGATTCCAATTGGAAGTGGTGCAATGATGGCAGGCCACGCTTCAAAAGTTTCTTGCTTTGCAGCAAGCACCGCAGGTAGCTGGCAAACGGCAATGTACCAGCTTTGACATGAAATGTCTTCTGTGCCCCGGCCACATATGGTTCGATCTTAGCACTTTTTCTTTGATGTGTTTCCTTGACCCAACCTTTGGTCTGCAGAGTTGCGAGCAGTTCCTGCAAAGACATGGAGTTGTCGTCTATATCATGTCGAACAAAATCCGCCATCAACCCACCATCTTTGTAGCAGGTGGCTTGCAGGAATATGTCGCTGCCGACACTGGTCAGTGCAAAACACTGATTGTCCAACTCGGTAACCAAGCTAGTCTCTCGTTGAATTGCACGGGCTCTTTCGGCATCGCTGGCAGTCAAACGGACTGCCCGCCCACCGACTCCCGCACGACCACCGTTTTCAGCTAGGTACGCAAGAACCTTCATGTCTTCCTGACGCCTCAGACTCAAGCTCACAGACAGACATACAATAGAGAGAGAGAGAGGCTCAGAGGCACAAGAGAGAGAGAGAGAGAGCATAAATAGATAGATAGATAGATAGATAGATATAGAGAGAGAGAGGGAGAGCAGAGAGAAAGACGAAGAGATAGACGAATAATAACAAAACGGCGCCAGCGCAGCAAAGGTTCGAGTCCGAGTCCGAGCTGCTGGAGGCAAACATTGCCATGCATCTAACCCTATCCATCACAGTGACAGCACGCACCGGCTGCAACACACGCATGGAGCGCAATCGCTGCAAAAGGATTCGAAGGCCGACCTCGCTTGCGGGTCCTGATGTTCCAAAGCGTTGACGCACTTCTGCTGTCCTGGGTAAGCAACAACAGATAACAACAGAACAGAAGACCGGAATAACCAAAACCGAAGTAACCGAAGAGGCTTAAATAGTGTATATAAACTAAGACTAAGACCCGACAGCAATCGGACCCCGGGCAGCCATGTTCCGGAAACCTGAAGTCAGGAAACCTAAGCCTTTGAGGGTGGGTGAGCTAGCATGGCATCAATGGACCCAGCTTCACACACTGCGGTTATGATGGCCTAGGACTCACGACCAAACAACATATCAAATATCCTTCGACATCTGCAAAGTCAGCTCAGCTACAGACACAAAGCAATCGGACCAGGAGCGCTCTCAGGCAACAGAGTCACACCACCCGGAGTGTGCTGATCATCATCTTCACCAGCAGCTGGAGCTGATTGAACAATCTTGTGGCTTTGCACTAAGAAATCGCACATGGACAGTGATCTTCTGTCGCCTTGCAGATGATACCTGGACATGTTGTCCGAAACAATGCTGAAGTAAAGCTGACCGCCGTCGCCGCCATCTGTGTGGGCAGCAACCTGCAACGACTGCAGTGTAGTGACCTCATCCGTTAGCGAGGGCTGGTTGGCCAGAGCCGGAGTTTCTGAGTCAGTGATCGCAAGCCTGGAGTCTGGAAGCTGCAACCGGTCTTGAGTAACTTGGGTGATGGTCTGCAAAGGAACCACGGGTAGCGGGCCCTGCGAAGGTGGCAGAGCGATAATGATGCCTTTTGAAGAAGATGCAACCTCGCGAAGAACAAACGAAAATAAGGTGACTCAGACGACTCAGGCAGCCAGCTGCAACACCCAATGAATTTACAAACTTCGAGCGAAGTAAAGAGCTTCAGCTATCTGACCAAGGCTGGTGGCTGCCTCAAGATGCTTCATCAACAGCTGCACTTCATCTGGAAGCTGAAGTGTGCCAGCATCGGGATCATCCTGCAAAAGATGCAACTCATATGTTCTGTGAAAATGCAGTTCTCATGAAAAGCAGTGAAGCGTCTTAATGCCGGCATAGCCTCGGGCGGCACGTCCAGAAGCGTAGACAATGCATCGATCTCATGTGCCAGGCGGCTTCGGTCTCCATGCTTCTGTTCGATTGAATCTCGATACAAGAGATTGGAAAGCTCTCGCAAGTCTAGTGACATCCGTTGCGGAGTGACAGGCAAACCCAAAAGAGTCAGCATCATCTTCTTCAAATGCTCAGTCCGCTCAACAGCAGCATACTGCTGGTATATCTCCACCAATGCCTGAGCCGCCGCCCAGATAAAGAAGAAACATCTAGGCACTAGGAACTTAGGTGCGCCAGCCTGTCTGCCTTAATCAATGCACCAACAAAACGAAGCACATGAAGCTGTGCAACCAATAGATTCACAAAGTCAGGTTCAAGGCACCCTGGGATTGCAAGTCAAGCTTTTGCACAGCATTCCATAACGCAACTCGAAAGAGATCAAAGCCGTGGAGCATCTTGGCATGTTACGTCTGACCTGCGTTATCCTCGAGTGCTGTCCTTCCACTGATCGCTCGCTGATCCTGACACAAGCGAAGCCTGCCATCCATGTCTTGAAGACGGGGTCTGTCACATCGCTGACCAGAATTCGGCCGGCAGCAATGTTTTCAACCTGACAGTCATTCTGGGAGCTCCGCCCCCCCTNNCCCCCCCCCCCCCCCCTATATGCAACCAATGCGAATCGATTTGCATGGATGCGCAGCGGCTGCTCCGCGTGGCCGTGCAGCCCCGTCCAAGATGGATCCAGAAATCGACGAGACTGTACGTGCCGGCATCCTGATGCCCCCCCATCCCACAATTGTAAGGCCCGCTTGGCCACCTGACGCACCGAAATGTCGTGGCCAGAGGCGAGCCCCAATAACACCCATGGGAGAGACTGCCAAAAGGCAGCCTTGACCATTGTCTGAGTCAAGATCGTCGCTCGAGCGTCGGCCCACGAGGATGTGAGCTTCAATCGCTCGTCTTCATTCAGAACTTGGCTGCAGCGGATTGCAACATTGTTGCTTGCTGCAGACATCAGCGACCGCAGCTTCCTGGCTTTAGACTGAATCCACTTACAACTTACAACGGGAGCTTGGAACATGTGGTGCAACTGGAAACAGTTCGTGAACAATGACCCACAATCAATGAACCAAGGCTCGCAAGCCCCAACCCTGAAGCCATCTCCGGCGCCCTGCATCCGCGACGCGGGCAACATTTGACCTCATGTGGCAACGCATTGCCACGGCCAAGCCGGCCAGCCTGGGAAAGGAGCATGTGGCTCAGCAATATATCTTCATGGCACGCACATCCTTCGGCCCATCTGCCAATGAATTCTGCATGAAAAGCGCAGTCGGTCACCATGCCATTCAAAGCCCAAAAAAGCTCAGATCGAATGATTGGATCCATAGCCGCGAAGTTCGGCCTCACTGCACCACCAGAAACAAATCAAACCTATCACCGGACAGTGACGAAACGGAAGACTGTCGACCGAAGGTGAAAACCCTCACATGACCAAGGCCTAGCCTAGCCTAGCCTAGCCTTAGCAGCCATGATGCGAATAGTCATCATCCTTGCCGGGTGCCAACTGAAGGCCAGCAGGGTTCCAATACCGTCTCAGGATGTGCTCGATAGCGGACAGCTGAAACAGGGGCAAGGACTACGACACTCTCTCACTGCTGACACGACATTGGACTGAATGATTTAACTGAACTCCTTCGCCTTGGCACAGAAGTTGGCCAAATGTTCCCATCGAAAGGATTTGATGGTGTGGCTCCAATGTTTCAATGCTCTCTTCTCTGCAGAATCTGCATTTGCCATACATTTTGCGATGAACTGCTCTCGCAACATTGTCCTGCAGAGCAACTTCTCGATCTGGCGTAGCGATTCCAGAAAGGTTGGCCACCTCGGCAGTGCGCAGCATACAGCAATGTAATGTATATCAGTCTAACTAAACTGGATGACTGGATCAGGATCACTGCTGGGGTCTTTTGCTAACAAGCTGCTGGGGAAGCCCTGCGAGAGATGCATGAAGTGTATTATCTGCATCGTGCTTGATGCCCGGAATACGAAATGCGTTGGCAAACCTGAGTGGTCGATTACACCGACCCCCGCACAAGCCAAAAGATAAACAGTCACACAAGCGAATTGCTACCAAAACAGGCGACAGTCTTTCATCTGGCGAGTCGTCTGAATCTTGTCCAGCGGGTATCACAGCCACAGGCCGAGCTTCCTGTAGCATTGCGTGCTTCAGGCTTCAGGTGTGGATTTGTGACTTTTATTG